AGCTCGTCCAAATCAACAAGTAAACTTCGGCATCGCTTTTGGGGGCGGAGCGCTTTCTGAAGTCCTGCTAAGTATCCAGCGCACCTTTCATTGTAAAAGCGCCACATCTCGATTCCCTGGCAACCAAGTAACTAATTCGTGTGGTATTAGTGTGAGCAGTAACGCTTTATACGCATACGCTGCTCTGCGTATTCGGCAAGGATGAGCAAAGCGTTTATATAAAAATGATTCGACTTTATCATAGTGATGCTGAGTTTCGGGCTTGCTATTCAGGGAACAAGATGGCACGGGGTCGACCTCGGTAGAAATCGAAGCTCAAAATCCAGATCTTCAGGATGCATCTGAGACACTGGATGATCAGCGATACATAGGGATAAAAGTGCTGATTTCAGTTTCCCGAAATCCCATCGATATGTGTGAAGTACTCGATGAGCTACGGACCTGACTGGAAGCACGTGGCCGGATCCACCGAGGGACTGTCCGCCACCTGCTTTCGTGGAGAATCGCATCGCTTCGTTCCCGACCTTCCCATCACCAGCCACATTCTCAAGCACTAACCCATACAAATGTGGGTGTTTACATTTCTTTAATTTGGTCGTTCAACTGAGCAAATAGACGTGGACTATGTCTTTAGGGCCTCAACTAGTATTCTCGTGCTATGGTAATGACCTATTCGGACATGACGTTGTTCGTGGATACGGTGCACTTCCGATACCAACTATTCCTGGAAGGTATGTGTTTTCTGGGCGGAAGGACCTTTAGAATTCTTATGAGTATTGCAACTAGTGCTGCTAGCTTAAGCGCTCATGGAACCAGACGCTGGAGCGAGCTTCTCCGACGAAAGCCAAGCCAGGCTTGATATCTCCTTTTTTGGAGTTCTTGGAATAATAAACCTCGCTGTGAAAATCCATTTCTAGAGCGGACAACGTGTCTACATAGTATATATGTATATAGATAGGTCCAGCTATCGAATTTACTGCAGCAGCGTGGCTAAATTCCTTCCCATACAGCTCAGCGAGCTATGCAAGGGCTGCACCGTTTCTATACAGGGGAGGGGGCCAAAAAAAGAAACACTTTACTCAACATTTCAGACACACTCTGCTAAACTTTGACTTGTCTTGTTTGTTAACTGCTGTTTTAACGCCGCAGTTCGCGTTGCGAATGTTTCAAAAGAATGCTGGGTTGTGAACAAAACATTCGCCCCAGGCGGGACTAGAACCCGCACCTCTCGCTTTCCGCCGGGCAAGTGCGCTACCAGTTACGCTACCGGGGCACCATTTCATTCCAACTTTTCTCAGCTTTTCACTAGCTTATGCTTACGCTCGGGGCACCCCTTTATTCCCACTTTCACTTCCTCAGCTACGTCAGGGCTTTACATGGCTACAGCGCTTCAACAAACCTCCCACCGAACTGTCCACTCGTAGCACTAAAGAGCACATCGATCAGTCTATCATTATACATTATATATTAAGAGCACATCCCAATCTATCAATTAAATATAATAGCTTTCTGCACCAAGGACATCACAAGAATTGCCATGGGAACCTTGTGCACGGTTCGAGCTCAACTGGTCCTCGGCGGATCATGGACCTTTACGACGTTATCTGAAACGCTGGTCGGAAGGGGTCTTGCATATTTAGAGCTACTGTCCCTAGGAAGCAATCCGTCAGTTAACCGATTGAAGAAATTCGTAGCAGCTTCAGGCTGGAACGATTACTTTAGGCCTTCTTGAGCTCAACGGTGATGGAAGATGACGTCATATTTTGAGGACGGTGAGGGCAGTGGAGGAGGGCCTGCTTCTACTTATGGGAGGACATCTAAGGGATATTTTGCCGTAAAACTTTCATCAACAGCGCACCCTGTGCGATGAAAAGTTTGATGATGTGACAAAGTGTCTCCATTTTTGGCCACCTCTGTAATGCCAGGCGCTCACGTCTAAAAGCCCCCACTCCCTCTCTCGAAGACAGCCTAATTAACTGAACAATTCCGTTCCGCAGCTGATATGGAGCCACAAGTGCTAATGTAGTGCCTCATCGGCTACTCCAAACGTATGGCAGTCTCCTTAGGGACTTATAACTCGTAATCATAGACATTTCAAGCAACCACCACACGCCCATAGTTGCTGCATCAGCGTCTCGGTGATCTGGCATGCTTTCTTGTCCTAAGAACTTTTCCTCTCCAGCGCCTAGTGTCTACTGATATCTCGCTGTTTGACTCATAGGCGCTTTCACATGCTAAAAAGGAAGACTTATTTGGAGTGTTTTTGGTGGTTCCTCTAGCTAATCCATCGCTTTTATGTGTATACGCTCGTAGAACCACTGCACTGTGACCTTCGCGGTTTTTTCACGATGTTTCACCAAATCCTTTTGCGAAATTATGCTCTAATCATGTTTTTTTTTACTTTCGTGACATACGGTACCCGCTCGGTGTCTGTGTTCATCTCCCTAGTCACTCCCCTGGTATTGCATGGTCCACTGTTCTTGTGAACCGGCGCTATTTTTGTTCTTATACCGAGGATCTGGTAGTTGTCTTGACCTCACACACGCAACTCAAAAGATGCCTTGGAGGGGAAAGGAAAGAGGTGGCGAGGTTGACCTGATAGTTCATCTCCCATCTCTTCTGTGGTTCTCGAGGTTGCTTGCCCTTTGCTCCAATTGCTAATCCTTTCCTTATTGGATGGTACTGTGGGCTAACCATCATGTGGCCGCAGTATCGCAGTCGCTGCATCTGCGCCTTCAGCTGGACTGAGGTAACCTGCATCATCGCTCTGACATCCTCGTTCAGTACGGAAAGAAAGGGTACCAGGACAGGAGGCCGTCGCGCGGCAAGAAGGCAGAGTCAGCGGACGAGTCGCAGCGCGTACTGTAGTGATTTCGCGTCAAGTTAAATAGAATGTACCATTGCACGTCCTACACGCACATCACGCGCTGCGACTCGGCGGTGAAAAAGGAAAGCGGCTCAGAGCGTCAAAGTGCGGAGATTTAATTGATTCTGCATTTATGATTTATTTATCGGTGTATTAATACAATCAACCACATAGAACATCAATAATAACATGTAACGATAAATAAATCGAAAAGAAAAATTCGAACAAACAAGACAAAAAGTTCAGAAAAGAATTGAGTTTGTCATACAGTTTTAGGATATAACTCGGAAAATGCTTTCAGAATTTTTCTAGTAGTGTAAGTTGAAATCTGTAGACAGGAAATGATCGATTCGAGTTTACATCTAGTAATCTTAATATAATTATTAGCGAACATTCGAGTATATATGGTTAGTGGTAACGCGAAACGCTTGGGTGTTGCTCTTCGCAGTTTGTCTCATTCAATCGGGTTAAAGTACAAAACACATGAACAATGAACAAAATGACCAATCATTTCGACACGCCACAATTCGGACCAGTGCTTGTTTTGGTTGTCCTGAGGCTTCTTCCACATATCAGAAGTCTTGTCAGGCATTCTCAGCGGCAAGCGCGCCAGCAGTTGGTCGACCCGTGCACAGATACGCCGAGGGCAGAGCACGCACGGTTAGATGAGGTGTTCAGCAGAACGACTCTCTTCTAACAGCATTGTTCTTTCAGCGACTCGTGTCACCACTCAGGGGAAATTGGTCGTTCGCGTGGACGTTATCTTGAAAGACATGGGTAAGTTTGGTTTCCAGACTGTCCCACGTCGAGGGCTTCCTTCTCACGAACCACCGGCTGCTGACTTGTCAGGACTACGGACTCGGGAAAAAAAGAGTGAGCAAGTGAAGCGTGATTGCCGATGTATTCGCCATACCTCTTATTCACCCAAGAGTTTATAGAAGAGACCCGTGGAAGAACGCGAGGTGTCAACACCTGCTCAAAGTGACGATAAGGTCGTAGAGGAGGTATCACCCGCCCTGCCATCAGAAGACATTCCACGGCCACTGCCAACCCTCGAGGACTAACAGAGGCCAATTGATATATTCTTTCTTGCTCACCCTGTACAAATTATACCATGAAGCTCTTATTTTTTGTTGGTTTTCTGAAAAAGCTTTAAAGGCTGGAAATCCCTTGAGAGTTCGCAGAGAAAACTGGTGCTCAAGTTCTGCTGCATACATTGGAATTTTTGGGTAGAAATAAAAATAAAAAAGGATAAAGCATTTGCCGTTGATCAATCCCTTTTTGGGATGCGGCACGCATTCTACTTCCATTTGTACATTCGTAGTGGCGTTTGAATGCGATGTGGCCTATACAATGACTTGCGGGGGCCAGCCGATGTACAAGTCAGTGTTTTTATCCTCCCAGACAAGTCTGGTACCAATTAACCGACCCCGGAGGGATGGAAGGCTTGGTTGGCCCGGGCGACTCACGACCCAGGATTTGATCCCCGGACCGCTCGCGTGGTAATAACTTCGTATAGCGCTCACTATACGAAGTTACCACCCTGACGCTACAATTGAAACTCACCTCATTGTACTAGGTGTCTCATAAATTGCACTACTTTTCTTTACCCTTTTGCTTCGAACGCAACTCTACTGTGGCCCGCATGGCATCCTGGGGTGTTCTCTTCGAAACTTTGCAGAGAAAAGGCTCCGGCTCATCCATGTGGATGCAATGTTTAGTGCAGGCTCTGCCCCCTAACATAGCCCACATAGGATGGTCCAGCACGTTGAAATCAAGGATAGGAGAGCCATTCGTTTGAGGATGTGAAATCGGAAAGAGTAGCTTAACAGCGCTCCTGAACAATTTTTGCCTCCTATGCAGAAGCTGGGTCCTATTGAAAAGAACATCACTCCTTTTCAAAGTGGTTGGATATTTTAGTAACAGATGTGCTGTCCCTTAGCCTGGTTTTGTATCGAGTTGCATTCCTATCTAAACAGGCAGTGGTGGTGAGCGACCGGTAGTTGAGACCTCTGCCTAGACCGTGACAGGGATTGGTTGCTGCTTCTGGAGAAAATTCTTTCTCTTTCTCGCAGCCTTAAGACCTCATGCGAGCATTCTCGAATTTTGTAATTTTTCCCATGATGAGGAGGTACTGTAGCTCCGTTTCATGGGAGGAATTTTGTCGCCGATAAAAACGGTGCCCACGTAATAGCCTTTTCGGCCCTCTGGCACCAGCTCTTCACTTTTTGTCTCTGCTGCGCTTCCCTGGTTCGATTGAGCAGTGGCGCTTGTGCAGCTTATAATGGACTGTGAGCAGTTGTTATCTGACCACTCTTCACATGAATGTGTTTAGAAACTTCAGCGTTCTGGTCACCTTTCTCAAGCCAACCTCGGGTATGCAGTCGATCCGCTTCTTCATGCTTTTCCTGAGATCCAAGATAACAGAACTTGAAGGACGAATCCACGCTGAAAAATAACCCATTTTAATATTAAAGTTAGAGATGGTCAGTGATG